AAAATATTATGAACTCCTAAAATTAACTTTCAAAGAACAGCACTCAATTATGCAGGAAAATGCACATGATATAATATTAGAAGGCTAAGCAGAATATGAAAGTGAGAATGATCTCAATTGTTATGTACATCTACATGTAGACAGGATTCACCAAGATGTTAGCAATTATCTGTAATTTTTATGAGAAATAATTATGTATACTAAAAATGAGGTCCCATGCAAATGCCTGATCCAGTGCAAGTAATAGCACACAAACAACAAGTGAAACCAAATGTTAAATCCTGAAATAGTATGAATTAACCGAGGTATTACATATTTACACCATAATGCCACACAGTCAGGAAAAAAGTGCAAATCCACTGACCACCACACCAAGGCAAGGTATTATACATTTACAAACCCTACTACTTATTTATTTCTGTAATCAAAGTGAATTGCAAGACCAAAAGCCATGGCATAGCAGAGAATTAAACTTTCAGTGCTTCAAGACAAGATTTTTTAAAAATCAGTTACATAAAAATTAGTATGGCTTTAACATTTTCTTGGATTCTTAACTTCTTTTGACCAAAAACTACATCAAAAAGATTTTTAAGTTATATGTGGACATTTTGCTAAAAACAGAAAAAAAAAATTTTTTTAATTAACTTTTTTTAAAACATTAGCAATTTTAAACATTTTAGGAATGAGAAAGTTTCTAAGGACATAAGAGAGATGAACACAAAGATTCACATATTGTAATGGGCTACTGGTTTGAGTGAACTATTAGAAACAGTCTAAATGTCAAATAATTAGAGATAAGTTAAGTCATAAACTAGAACTCTGGTTTTTAATCTTCTTTGGGTCACAATTTTGAGGATTTAATAAAAGCAATGAACTCCCTCCCTAAAATTAGAAACATAGGTATATACCCCCGAATTTTTGCATATGATAGGAGGTTTACAAATAACTGATGCTTAAACTACCTTAAGAATTCCCAGGCTAGAAAAATTTAATATCATGAAAACATTATGTTTCTATTACATTGTTAAATAAAAAAAAAAAGCAAGGGATAAACCAGTTATTACAAAGAAGGAAAAAAAATGTGTTTGTGTCTATGAGCAGGAAAAAGACAGAGACCAAATTATTAGGAATAGCTATCCTTGGATGGTAGAATTGCAGATATACTCTTGTGATGTTTATACTCTATAGAGAGTACATAGAGAGAATATACTCTATATTCTCCTTATATTCTAACACGAACTAGTTATATAATTAAAAAACAATATTTAGAATTTATTTTGTACATACAAAATTGTTACTAGCCAAGTAACAAAGCAGAGGAGGCTCAGATAATGATAATTTTTTTCAAGTTTTTAAGCATATAATCAGAAGTGACAAATTACTAGTGCGTTGGGCTGGGAATCTGGTCGGCTGCTGGGAGCACGGCTGCTCCTGGGCTGTTCCTCCACCACCGTCTCCCGAGGGCCACTCCCAGGCCCCTCTGGCGCCGCCTCCCCTGGGGTGTGCTGGCCACACTTGGGCCCCTCTGGCACCACTGCAGGTGCGCACGGGCCTCTCCCATGTCCCTCTGGCGCTGGAACCACCAGTACGTGTGGGTCGCTCCTGGGCCGCTTGGTTGCTGCCACCGCGGGCTCGCACAGGCCTCTCCCAGGCACCTATGGCGCTGCGGTCGCCGGCATGCATGGGCTGCTCAGCCACCGCCATGCCAGGCTTGCCCAGGCCACTCCTGGTCCCCTCTGGCGCCACTGGCATGCACAGACCACTCCTGGTCCCTTCTGGCCCCACCGCTCCCGGCGCACGCTGTCGCTCTCCCACTACTGGGCTAGTGTGTTGGGGTCCGTACCATTTGGGGGAACGACTGACAGTCTGCTTTGTGCCGTGAGGGGCTTCAGAGCTGCGCTGCCGCCCAGGGGTTTAGGGCGTCTAAAGTTCCTTGGGATCCCCAGATGCTGGCTAAGTGTGCCAGGATGACTTTGTCCAGTTGTAGGGTCCCTGTCTCTTTAAGACTTGCAAAAATCATTCACTTTTCTTTTGTCTCAGGGGCACTGGTTGCAGGAACCTGCCTGCAGGTTTTGCTTTTCCTTTTCTCTAATATCCAGCACCCCATGCACCTTGTGTCTGCACTCCGGGTGCGGATTTCTAGAGCTGGTTGTTTAGCAGTCCTGGGCTTTCACTCCCTCCCCATTCTGACTCCTTTCTTCCCGCCAGGTTCTGGGGTGGGTGGGTGTTCAGGTCCCGCCGGGCCACGGCTTGTATCTTACCCCCTTAGTGTGATGTTGAGTTCTCGCAGATGTAAATGTAGCCTGGCTATTGTACTGTATCCACTGGTGTCTCTTTTAGGAATAGTTGTATTTATTATATTTTCATAAATATATATGTTTTTGGAAGGAGATTTCCACTAAACTACTCATGCCACCATCTTCAGCAGGCCACTTTTTGTCAGTTAGTTACCTTTTTTTTATGAGCTGAATTGTGTGCCCTCTGACCCCAAATTCATGTTTAAGTTCTAACCCTGGTACCTTGAAATGTGACTGCATTTGGAGATAGGATCTTAAGGAGGTAATTAAGTTAAAATGAGGTCATTAGGCCCTAATCCAGTAGGATGGGTGTCCTTTTAAGGATACAGACACATGCACAGAGGGAAGCCCATGTGACGATAGGAAGGAAAGGCAACGATCTACAATCCAAAGATTCCTCAGAAGAAACCAGCCTTGTCAACACCTTGATCTTGGACTTTTGGCTTCCAGAATTACAAGTACATTTCCATTGTTTAAACCACCTGGTCTGTGGCATTTGAGTATGGTAGCCCTGGCAACACTCATACAACTTTCAATTACTCAAAAGAAATTGCGATCTGCCTAGATTTTATAGGCTGTTCCTGCTATAGTTTCTGAAGCTATCAACTTTAGAAATGTATATTTATGAAATTTTATTTTTCCTCTGAGCATATTCTACTTGCTTAAATCATGAGACATAAGTTTAAGTTTATGTAATTAACAAGAGTTTCATTTCAAGGTATACTGACATTAGAAACTTCCTATAAAATTTTGGCAGGGAACGATTATAATCTTTGAATGGAGGATAATTATAATCATTACATGAAGATTCTGTACAGTCTAATATAATAGAATTAGAAATGATCTAAATGACAACAATAGGGGCATGGTTAAGTAAATTACAGTATATGATAAAATATTATGAACTCCTAAAATTAACTTTCAAAGAACAGCACTCAATTATGCAGGAAAATGCACATGATATAATATTAGAAGGCTAAGCAGAATATGAAAGTGAGAATGATCTCAATTGTTATGTACATCTACATGTAGACAGGATTCACCAAGATGTTAGCAATTATCTGTAATTTTTATGAGAAATAATTATGTATACTAAAAATGAGGTCCCATGCAAATGCCTGATCCAGTGCAAGTAATAGCACACAAACAACAAGTGAAACCAAATGTTAAATCCTGAAATAGTATGAATTAATCGAGGTATTACATATTTACACCATAATGCCACACAGTCAGGAAAAAAGTGCAAATCCACTGACCACCACACCAAGGCAAGGTATTATACATTTACAAACCCTACTACTTATTTATTTCTGTAATCAAAGTGAATTGCAAGACCAAAAGCCATGGCATAGCAGAGAATTAAACTTTCAGTGCTTCAAGACAAGATTTTTTAAAAATCAGTTACATAAAAATTAGTATGGCTTTAACATTTTCTTGGATTCTTAACTTCTTTTGACCAAAAACTACATCAAAAAGATTTTTAAGTTATATGTGGACATTTTGCTAAAAACAGAAAAAAAAAATTTTTTTAATTAACTTTTTTTAAAACATTAGCAATTTTAAACATTTTAGGAATGAGAAAGTTTCTAAGGACATAAGAGAGATGAACACAAAGATTCACATATTGTAATGGGCTACTGGTTTGAGTGAACTATTAGAAACAGTCTAAATGTCAAATAATTAGAGATAAGTTAAGTCATAAACTAGAACTCTGGTTTTTAATCTTCTTTGGGTCACAATTTTGAGGATTTAATAAAAGCAATGAACTCTCTCCCTAAAATTAGAAACATAGGTATATACCCCCGAATTTTTGCATATGATAGGAGGTTTACAAATAACTGATGCTTAAACTACCTTAAGAATTCCCAGGCTAGAAAAATTTAATATCATGAAAACATTATGTTTCTATTACATTGTTAAATAAAAAAAAAAAGCAAGGGATAAACCAGTTATTACAAAGAAGGAAAAAAAATGTGTTTGTGTCTATGAGCAGGAAAAAGACAGAGACCAAATTATTAGGAGTAGCTATCCTTGGATGGTAGAATTGCAGATATACTCTTGTGATGTTTATACTCTATAGAGAGTACATAGAGAGAATATACTCTATATTCTCCTTATATTCTAACACGAACTAGTTATATAATTAAAAAACAAGATTTAGAATTTATTTTGTACATACAAAATTGTTACTAGCCAAGTAACAAAGCAGAGGAGGCTCAGATAATGATAATTTTTTTCAAGTTTTTAAGCATATAATCAGAAGTGACAAATTACTGATGATCACTGGTCACAGGTACTCATGGATGACCAAGACTATTCTGTAATCTGCTGGATGGAGAAAAGGCCCAAGTAACTATTTCCTGTTTCACAGAATACCACAAACTGAAAAGCAATCATGGGCAATACTGAAGTTCTCCTTTAGAAATATAAAGCTATTTTTGGTTTTTGATTTCAGGATACTTCCAAAATGTCTAAAATAAACTTTTAAAGAAACAAAGATTAGAACAAAAAACTTACATTTTCTATTGTGTATTAACAGAGCTTGTTTCAAATCTATTGTTGCTTTTCCTAATAAAGCATCTGCTTTTAAAGTGTGATGACTCCAAACTCGAAATTCCAATGTAGTCTGTGGGGTCACATTTCTATAAGGGTAAAATTATAACAAACATAGGAGTATACATTTACTTCAATAGTTTGAAAAAGCCAGGAATTCCATCTGAGGAAAAATTATTGTATAAAACAATTACCTGAATTATAAATAAGAACAATATTTGCTTTCACATACATTGGATTTTAATAACTAGGTAAGAATTTTGGTAATTAGCAAATCAAAAAGCCAGCAATACATCAAGTCTTACTGAGATGTCATAATACTACTTTGATTTGAACAAATTCCTAAAGATTGAAGAAAACTGATGACACTAGTTATAATACACTATACACAAATTTCTAACATTGTATTTCAGAAATGCCAAAATTAAGGATGACTGATTTTCTGCCCTATTTTTACAAGACAGTAAGGGAAATTATGGCTATAAGAAAATAATTTCATTTATAAAGTAAAAAGGCAATGATAATTATGCTTCTTCTCTGAAGAAAATGAAATCAGCGAAAAATTTTTTCATACTTAAAATTGTCTATTAGCACTCTACTATGAAATCACCCAACAACAACATTCTAAGAAGCACACTCCCTTTTGAAAATTTTTCATTCTTTATACAAGGTACTTACACAGTTAACTGTTCATCCCATTTTGGATTCGAAGAACTACTGGATTTTGCTGTTTTCTTACTTTCTCCATCTATAATTACTTCTGTATATATTGCTGTTCCAAACCAGTTCTTTTTTCTTTTAAGTTTGGCACTAGAAACTAACAGAAACATGATAATCACTAGTGAATATATGTAGCCAAAAATTAGTATTGTGATAACTCTCAATAAAATGGAGCTGTGCTCCTCTTTTCATTGTCAGGATGAAGAAACAATACAAAAGAGCTATCAATAATGTCTGAGAACCGTTTAAATTTTTAAAATGTTACTGAAACATAATTCATACACCATATAATCCACTCATTTAAACTCATTTTCACATAAATAAGATTGCACTGCACAATTCAATTGTTTTAATATACTCGGAGTTGCACAACCATTACCACAAGCAATTAGAAAACATGTATGTTCGCTGCCCAAAAGTACCCCACACCATTAAGCAGTCACACTCCTAATTCCTCCCCACTTACCACTCCCCTGGTCCAGCCCTACGCAACTACTAACTACTAAGTCTTTACAGATTTGCCTGTTCTGGTCTTTATGTGACTGGCTTCTTTCCTTAGCTTGTTTTTAAGGTTCATCCATGTTGTAGCATGTATCAGTACTTCATTCCTTTTACTGATAAATAAGATTCCCCTGTATGGGTACTCCACCTCATATTTATTTATTCACCAGTTGATAAGACATTTGGGTTGCATCCACTTTTTGGCTGTTGTGCATTACTGTGAACATTCATAAACAAGTGACTTCTCTCAGCATATACCAAGGAGTAGAATTGCTGGGTCATATAGTAACTGTTGAGTAACTGCCAGACTATTTTCCAAAGTGGCTGTACCATTTTACATTCCCACCAGCAGTATATAACAGTTCTAATTTGTCTATATGCTTGTCAACCATTTGAATTTCATACTGAACTGCATCAAGTGTCAAAACAAAAGTGTCTTCAGATTCAGCATACCGATTAACCTCTCTGACAGGTGGTATTAACTTGTCAATCAGAAATCATGTAAACTTTGGTGGTTGTTTTTTTAAATGCTTCACCTGGGAAGTAGGTTTCAAAAAAAAAAAAGTATTTGCTTTTTCAAATAAGAATCTTAAAATAAAAGTATCATTATAGAAATTTACAGAAAGTATTAGGTCAGATTTACCATACTTGAAGACTTGTTTCATTTGGGCTAAACATTTGATTTATAATAATTTTTACAACTACTAATTCAAATGTGAAGTACACATTTTCAAGGGCAAGCAGAAATTACCACTTTTCAAAATCACCTCTCTAAAGAATTACCTGTAAGTTTCATGGGTCTGAGGTGAGAAAGGGGAAAGCCCTCTCTGTGTGCCATACCTGAATGTTATGTTAAAAATATGAGTGTGAACAAACTAGTGTAAGATTCCATTCTACTGTGAGAGAATAGTAACATAAATAGTCACAAATAAACACTGAAACGTGATGTGGCAAATGCTGAAGCAGAAGTACAGTGTTTAAAATTCAACAGTCCTCCACTTAACATCTTCAGAAAGCAAGATAAATTCAAAGGAAATAATTTAAGGACTGTCAACATAAAACAGAGTGCTCACTGTTAGGCATGAAGTGCTACTACCAGGGTCGTGATGTAGCTGCTTCCCTTCTCTGTTCCAAACTGCTCTAAGTCAGCACCACCAGAGTCATACAGAAAGCACAGACTTCTCTCTCCCAAGAAATCCACCAACCAAGATTCCTCACCCCAAACAAAAGAGTCATTTCCTCAGTTTACGCAGCTCTCATCTATACACAGGAAGAAGGGGAAGGCAGTATTACTGGAAGTTAAAAGCACACGTCTTTGCAACAAATGGTGCTAGAATGATTGGACATCCTCACATTAAAAAAAAAGAATAGAGACCTTTTTACATCCCTCTCAAAAAATAACTTAAAATGGAGTTAGACCTAAATTTAAAATATAAAACTATAAAACTCCTAAATGATAACATAGAAGAAAACCTAAATGACCTTGGGTATGGTGATCCCTTTTTTAGGTACAACCTCAAGGGCACAATCCATGAAAGAGCTACACTTCACTGAAGTTAAAAACTTCTGCTCCACAAAAGACAAATGTCAAAAAGAAGACAAGCCAAATACTGAGAAAAACACCTGCAGAGGACACCTCTGATAAAGAGTCACTGCCCAAATACTCTAAGAACTTAGACCTCAACAATAAGACGACAACCTGCTGAAAAATGGGCCAGAGACCTCCAGACACTTCACCAAAGAAACATACAGACAGCAAATCAGCATATAAAATGCCTCTAAACATTTTATGTCATCAGGGAAACAAAAATGAAGCAACAAGATTACTGCTACACATCCATTTTAATGGCCAAAATCTGGAACACAGGCAGCAACAAATGTTGGGGAAGATAGGGAACAACAGGAACCTACTCACTGCTGGCGGGAATGCAAAATGGTGCAGTCACTTTGGAAGACAGTTTGGTGGCTTCTGAGAAATTAAACAGGCTTACCATATCATCCAATAAGTGCACTCACTGGTACTTACCCAAAGGAGCTGAAAACAGGTCCATACAAAAAACTGCACATGGATATTTACAGCACCTTTATTCCTAAATGCCACAACTTGGAAATAATCAAGACGTGCCTTCAGCAGGCGAATGGATAAACAAACTAGGACATCCAAACATTGGAATATTGTTCAACTCCAAAAAGACATAAGCTATTCAGCTACAGAAAGACATAGAGTAAAACCTAATGTAAACTACCAATTTGGGGTGATTGCGATCTAGGTTTATCAGTAGTAATAAATGTACCACTCTGGTGAGGGATGTTAATAACAGGAAGGGTGGAGGCAGCCTGAGCAAGTGCGGGCACAGGGTTGGGAAATCTCTACCTTCCTCTCAGTTTTGCTGTGAACCTAAAAGTGCTCTAAAATAGCCTTAAGGAAAAAAAAAAAAAAACTCCTACCAGGTTGAAGAGATCTGGGTTCACACTTGAACTCTGACCTTAAGTAAGTCACTTAACCTCTCTGACCCTCAATTTTCTCATCTCATTATCTGAAAAATGGGAACAATAGTTCCTCACTCTTAGGACTAGGACTGGTGAGCAAAGGCACTCAAGGCACTATTATCATGAATGAATGCTAGCATCCAAAAGTGGTAACTACTTTATTACTATTATTACTGTATAGTATGAACTTTTCTCAGTTAATTTCAGATACATTTAAAATACATCCATTGTACACCTTTAACTGGCAGTCTTCAATAGTACTAGATGCTGGCAAAGCAAGGGGAGTGATTTTTAAAAGATAACAATTTTTAACTTCACAAGGAATTTACAATGTGCTGGCAAATAATGTGTACACAGATAACTAGAATACTAAGACTTTAAATAACTAAAAGATACCCTTAATAATCCAAATAAGAACTTTAATTACTAGAATACATAAATTTCATTTCTCATGCAATGAGTTTCTTCTGGTGTTACACATAGAAAGTTCTCTACTGTAAGATTACATACTGAAAATCTATCAGATAAAAGAGTCCTGTATGTGGAGGTGTGGGTATCTATGTAGAAAGATTTTAAAAATCTTACAATAACAACACACACCCTGCCCCAATCTAGTAATAAGCTTAAGAAATGCATAGAAGCTACTACACAAGATAAATAAAACTTTACTCTGATGTACATAAAAAACTTGAAAGGAATGACATGATATATCCCGGGTTTGAAAGTTTTAACACTGAATGATTCCAATTCTCTCCAATTTAATATGTTATTTTTAAATGATCTAAATGAAAACACTAACATTAGCTTTGAGGGAAGCTTCTTTCTGGGGATGGGGAGGTGGCAGAGGAAAAAGGAGGAAGACTCTAAAACTCAAATGAAAGATACAGAAAATTATAGAGAATAGTGAAGGCATATGTTAAAATGCCAAGTATTGAGAGATTTCTCCCAATATATTTTTTAAAGTATTATAAAATGTAAATAATTAAAACTGTCCAACTCTGATATGAGAGGCAATGTGAAAAGAATAGAGTAAGATGTTAGTATTTGATGGTGTTGACATTTCAAATCAATGGGTGGGAAAAAGTAGATTAGTCCATAAATTGAACTATTAAGTTGAAGCACTGAAAACAAAATTAAATCCAGTTCACAACACTCATTCAAAAATGATACATATTATTAAAATTTTTAAATTTTATTTAAAAAGTGACACTATTAAGATACTAGAAAACATAACAGCTAAACAATTATGAATGTGAATGCAACAGCCCATTAGTTTTTCAATTTCAAATCTTATCTTTTTATACATCTTTGTTCACGACCCTTTCTTCTAGAAAGCCTGAAATCTAAACTATTGTAGCTGGAACATTCTGTGTGCTATTAATGCTTATGTACATGCTACACTCCAGTATAGTACAATATTCTGATAGTTTCTCTTTGATATTTTTGTTATAGTTTTCCTGCTTTCTCTGAAAGAACAGAAATAAGAATAAAAATAAATAAGCTAATACAGTACCTCAGCTTACAGACCATAACTTGCCAGGATGGAATAGCAGAGGAGCCTTCATCATGGTACTGATTATTTTTAAAATAAAAGAAAATTAATATAGCAGTCACAGCTATCTACCAAGGAGCTACACTGTGGAGTCCTAAGACCTTGGTTGGTTTCCTACTACTAATGGAAGGCACTTGATCTCTCTGATTCTCAGTTTCCTCACTGGTAAAACAGGAGCAGGACTTTTTACTCCACAAGGTACTATCAGATCAGTAAGATTGTGGATTTCAAGGTGCTAATTTAAAAAATTAGATCAACAAAATGAAAGGCAAAGACAGAAGTGAGGGGAGGGGAGAGGACAGGAAAGGAGAAAAGCAAAGCATTAAAGTCTGGTGCCATTTTAGCAAAGGTCCAAGTTAGTTTCCCAAGAGCATCACTTTCTTTCCAATGAGAATAGTTAACTGATACTCAACGTGATGAATACCACAGAGACACTATCTTGGCTACTCACACTTCTTTGGTCCCCATCTATTTTTCAACTGGTTTCTATAATGTGGAGATTCTATGAGCTACTTGATAGCTTTTAAGTACGTGTTTTTTGGCTCCAGTCAATCAGATCAGGTTTCTGCTACTTCAGGTCAGAACTCATACATAGGTTACAACCAAGAAGAAAGTTCTACCTGAGACATGCCAACCACAGGTCCTGCACAAGCAACACTGAAAACCCAAAACGCAGCTCTAAGCTTTTATGTAGTGCAAAAGCAGAAGTATTAGGAATGATATGAGTGGTTTGTAAGTGAAATATACATCTGAATCATCCAGACTTGCCCCAAAACAGACATCCCTATGGTTCATGGAAAAACGAAATACAAATAGACCTTAAATGTGGCTCAACTTCACTCGCAGTGAAAGAAATGATATTTAAAATGACACTAAGATAACACTTTTTACCTGTCAACAATCCAAAGCTTGATAACACATTGTGATGAAGCTATGGGGAAATGGGCACTCTCATGGACAGCTGGTGGAACACAAAAGAGTGCAGACCCTATGGAGAGAGATCTGGCAACCACTGGCAATATTGCATGTGTTTACTCTTTGACACAGCAATGTCATTCTAGGATTCCAACCTCCAGCAGCTGAGCAAGGATATGAACTGACTTTTGCAGGAAGCTATTTATTGCAGCATTAATTCTAACAGTAAAAAGTAAATGCCAATGTCCATTGATAGGAAACTAGATGAATTAACTTTGGTATGTCTATTTAATTGACCACTGCTGTGCAATAATAAAAAGGTTTATAAAATAACCTGCCATGGAGCAAACTTCAGGATATTACTGTTAAATGAAGTAAAGTACCCAAAGAAGTAGGAGAGTGGGAGGAGCGATATGAACACACATACTGTACATACCTCCTTATATTTTCTAAAACAAGCAATAGAAGGATAAGTGAAAACTCAGAAAAATGTTTACCTATAAGGCAAGGATGGGACAGAGTAGCCAGACCTCTCCAAGTGTTCCTTAATAGTTTTGACTCCAAAACCGTAACAAATACTTCACATGGTGATAAATTAAGTAAAATATAAAAAGCTGAAAGCAGTGAATTTGATTATCCAACTGGTGGCATAACCAAGTGGAAAATTACTTTAAATTAATTTGAAACATGGCATTGGGACTATAGGTCTTAGTGGGACGGGATATTCACAAAGAAATCTTAAACTGCAATCGGTAGAACTGTTATTTTTGGCAATATTAATATGGTTATTCTGTGTGTGTCTGTGTGTGTGTGTGTGTGTGTGTCTGTGTGTGCGTGTGTTAGGATAAAACAGATGTAATTATGTTAATGTCATTTGCAATTAAGGTTTTTGAGTTAAGAGAAAAGAAATACAAATATAAAGTCAAATGAAGTAAAAATGTCTTTTTTCTCCTTCTGGTGGAAAATGGTATTTAGAGACTACAGCTATTATTTTGAAATTTCAGCATGAACTCAGGATTTGTGTTTTGCTAATACAATAATCATTTCCTAACTGTCCACTGAAAGCTCCTAGAAACAACTGCCTTTGTAGTAATGAGTACTACAGGAATTACAGTGTATCTCCTCAAGAGCCCTACTTAATCCCACCCCTCCTGAGACAAATACGATTTCTGATGTTCTAAGCACAGAGCCACATACACACCACCCTTTCCTTTTTACATATTGTTACACTGTACCTACTACTTCACATCTTGTTCTTGTACTTAACAATATTATCTGAGAACTTGGCTCCTACTGGTACACATGTTTATTTCATTTCATTGTCTAAAATTCTACTGCCAGTCTTTTGCTACTAGAAACACACTCTCATTTATTTATTCATCTTACTTCTCTAAGAATTTATTTTGCAGTTATTTATATTGAACAAATTGTTGAAGAAATAAATTCTTAGAAGTATAACTGCTGGCTTAAGCACCACTCTTCCTTGAATCATCTACTCCAACTGTTGAGAATGAAATACCTAAGTCCCTAACAAAGGCTCTTTCATGCTTTTGCAAATGCTATTCCCTCTCCCTGTACTGTAATCTGCTGCCAATCCAAGCTGAGATGAAGTCTGATTCCTACTGCAAGAGTTAAAGTGTTAGGCTCTATGAGCCCCTCTCTTACCCTATTCCCTTTTATCTATAGGCCATCTCCAATCCTAAGCAGACCTAAGACACCTTCCTCTAAGTTCTCACTGCATCCAGTTAATAATCACTCTACGTGGCTAACTGTCCATACAAAACAAACCATCTCAATATGGCAGAGTAAATACCTCGAGAACTAGGGCCTTGTGTTTTCATATATACATAATTCCACTTAACAAATACCTGCCCAATGACTGAATGGATGACTAAGTGGATAAAAGAAGACCTTCAGCATCCTTTTCTATTCTAATAATCATTTAAAGACCAGCTCAGTGGTGCCTATTACAATACCCAAATTCTCCCGCCACCAAAGAGGACATATCTTCTTTGCATCCAGCACAGGTTTAATAAATATTTACTAACAAATACAATACTTTTAAAGGACTTCTACCTCTGAGGCTTGTTGCAACAAATACACTCTTACACGACTCTAAAAGAAAAGATATTTATGGAATAAATCTGAATTAAATATTAAAAAGAAAGTTCTATCAAGAAATCACTATTTTAAATTATTATGAAAATAACTTACCAGTTACCTGTAACTGTAACCTTCCATTATGGTTATTACTAGTATCAGATCTTGGTGAAGCAGTGGCCATGTCCCAAAATTCAACTTAAACCTATAAAAAAGTTAATTTATTCATGTGTTAGACAAGAGATTGTAATTTTCAGTATGATTAAAACTGTGTTTGAATCAACTAAGAAATCACACCTAACAGAATATTTTTCAACCCATCAAATGTTGATATATTCAGTTGTTTGTCCTCCACTCAAAATGAAGACTTGGTATACTATAAGCGCTACAGAAGAATACGGCCTAAAACTGTATCTGGGTCAGTCAGAGAAACAAATGATACTATGAACCCAGAGTCATGTGATTCATAGGTAAACATATAATTTTTGTAAATTTTTACTATTACATACTCTATATATATTATACATTACCTACTTATTATCTGAACCTACATAAAGTGTCACTTTCCCTTTTAATACTTCCATATTTCCTCAAAATAAAAACATCCTCCTAAGTAACACCACCACAATGATCAAATTCAGGAATTTATGTAGTGCATTATTATATCTAATACAAGGTCCATATTCTATAATTTCACCAACTGCCCATCAATGCCCTTTATCACAATTTTTAAAATATAGTACCTCATTCAGGTTTAAATATCACATTAATTGTCATGTCCCCAGTACATCTTGCATGTTTATTTGTATAGATGATTTCTTTTTTAGTACTGTTTCACTCCTCCATCCTGACTTGTACTTTTTAAATAAAATACAAGGCAGAGCTACTTTGGCTTTCTTCCTCATGTTAAATATATTATGGCTAACCTTTTATCTACCCTTAACCTACTTTAGAGGCAGTGCAACACTGGGCAAAACTGAGAATTATTACTGAATATTAATGTTTATCTTGTTTTTCCCCTTTTATAGTCTTTTCTATGCTCCAATTAGGCCCTTCCCCTAAATTCAGGGTAAGTCTAAAAATTATTATACCATCTTCATGTGTTTATAGTTACATATATTGTGTGTGTGTGTGTGTGTCTGTGTGTGTCTGTGTGTAAAAGATAAACAGTTGCTTACTATTTGATTAAGTGATTCTACCTAATGTATTTTCATGGATCCTGAGACCTCATTCAGGCCAATGCTCTCACTCTGCAGATGAGAAACCAGGATCAAGGATTACATCTGTCCACAGATACATCAGCTGTTCTGTGCATATGAGAAAACCAATGGGAATGGAAGCCTTAGGCCGTATACAGACAAGGAAGAAAATTAACAGAAACTGAAGGTTTTCCAGTGCCTAGCAGTCAGTCTTGGTATAACAGATATTTTAAAAGATCTTCCTGTTTCAATTAGAGTATGTCCTGGGTAAATTAAAACCAATGTACTTTTCAAATACTACTATTTTTTCAAGAAGTGTAAGAAATTATCAAGCCTGCTCCCACCACATATAACAATAGCCCCCCCAAATTTTTTTGAGTCAAAATAATAGAAGAAAACAGTGAGTAGTAAGCAAAGAAATTTTTTAAATTAGTGTTGCCTTGGATGCGCTGATAGCAGCACTGGATTAAAAGATAAAGCCCTGGGCCAGCTACAAGGTCAGGGAGCTGAAGGCTCCCAGAGTAAGCTGAGCGCCCAGTCAGTAGTAACCTCTCACTCAGGAAGACACTCCGATTGAAGCTACTGGGATTACCCAAAATGAAAAGTAATCAAGAGTACAATTAAGAAAAATCAAATTTATAAGAAAATAAGCCACCATGAGTGAGTCAGCAGAAACAAACAATAATAGTTTCTGACCCTTCATGGATATAAAATGACTATTAAATACAGATATTTTAAAAACAAGTTCTAGTAATAAACAAACTAAAACATGGTCAAACAAAAAAACATGGTAAAACAAATAGTCTCATATTTGCAAAAGAACCATATAGAACTTAAAGTTTTTACTTTAGAATAGTTTCAAATTTACAGAAAGAATGTGAAAATAGTAGAGTTGTCATATACCCTGCACCCAGTTTCCCCTACGATTTACATCTTACCTTAATATGCTACGTTAGCCACAATTAATGAGACAATATCAATACATAATTAACTAAAGTCTATAGTTTATTCAGATTAGAATTTAAGAATCAGTAAACTTGAATATAAATGTGAAAAAATCATTTAGAAGTAGTGCTGAAAAAAACAGATGGAAATATAAAATGTGATCTAAAATATACTTCTATTCATAGTCCCAGAAAATGCAGAAAGAGGAGGTCATACTAGGAGAGAAAAAACTTTATTTTCTAGAACTGATGAAAGACATTTATCCACAATTCTACCACTTTATACATACATATATATATATTTAACACAATTCTAAGAAACACTACCTATATATACACATGTATACATATATATATATATATATGTATGCCTCATTGAAGAGTTTCTAGATAACAGAATTCTGGTGGACATTGCTGACAAAGCATAGGATAAAGACAAGGGTGAATGTTCTTTGGACTGAGAGAAATCAAGATTCACACAAAACAGATACAGACTGGTAGAACTGCCTTGCCGCAGACAGCTTTGATGACTATCTACGTGGAAGAGATGATGGCAGTTTGAAGACAAACTGTGGGAACAACAAAGGCCAGGACTGGCATGATGACGAGGGCAGCAAAGACTATGGCTGAGGATGACTCCAGGATGAACAGCGGCAGACACATGGTAGTGGGCACTACAGGGATGGTTAAGTACAGAGAAGATGGCACCACTACAAAGACTGACACGACAGACACACGTTCCATCACGGATCTCCAAAGATGATCACTCTCAGGATGATCACAGATGTGATGACAGAGGTCCCTCCCAAAGACCCAAACAGAATCTAAAGCCTCAGAGTACTCCTAGGGAAGACGACTCTTCTGCTGGCACCTCTCAGTCTAGTCAAACAGCTTCTATCCTTGGAGGAGCAAAGCCTGCTGACCCAGGTATGAGAGAACAAGAAGTAGAAGAGCAGCTACAGAAGAAATTGGAGGAATCACAGCATCACCTAGATAAACCAAAACTAGAATGACAGCCTTGGGAGAGATACCCGAATTGGCAAAGTGAAGAAACTCAGACAGGAACAGTCAAAGACAGGAAGCAAGTCATCTCAGACTGGGACCTCAGCCACATTAGTCAGAAGTCAGAACAGAACACATGATGGAGAGTGAGAAGCCTCTGGAAAATGGAACTAAGGCAGAAAACAGTTTTCAACTTCTAAACCTCCCAAACCCAATCAGCTGCTAAAGAAAGGTACTGCTGGCCCTCCACCAAAAAGAGGATGCTTGGGTGAAATGCCAACACTTCTACTTGATCTCAGAATTCAGAATAGCAATCCCCTACAAGTAATGGAAGAAAAGTTGCTCTGGCTCAACCATCTCAAGAAGGATCAACCTGCAAAGATGAAAATGAAGTAGATGGGGTGAGTATTCCAAAGGTGAAAGTGGGGACTCTAGCATGGTCCACAAGATGGGAGCCTCAAAACAGACCAATGCATGTTAAGACATACTCATGAAACAGATGTGGCTGATCTGTAAGAAAGCATGGACAATTAAGCGGTCCTGAAATTATCCATATGGGAAAAGGATCCCTACCTCACATCACATTACAAAATCAATTCAAGAATGACTAGTGATTTAAGTATGAAAGGCAATCTTTAAAACTTTCAGAAGAAATTATAGCAGAAAACTATTGTTTTGTGTCCTCCCACAATGGAAGGATTTCTTAAATAAGCATACTAACCAAAGAAGAAGAGAGTGAATATTTTGGCTGTGTAGAAATCAAGAACTTGTTTATCATAAAAATATCATAAATAAAACTAAAAAACAAGCCACAAACTAGGAGGTATTTACAAAACATAAAACTGATCAAAGAGTAGTACTTAAACTGTACAAGAACTTCTAGTTAACAGAATCACTAAATGTCTTAAGACATATACCAAACATGGAGGAAGGGGAGTTTAAAATGTTGTGCTATTAGAACACATTTAAACCTTATCAACTAACAACTTAACATAGACTGCTACATGTTAGATGTCATATACAACCCCCACAATAACCACAATTCAAAAACCTAATAATAGATACATGAAAAATAGAAAGAAACCCAACCACAACAATAAAGAAAGGTCATCATGAACGTGGGAAGAAAGCAAGAGAAGGACCAGAGAAGAGCAACAAAAACGAGAAAATATTTGACAAAATGGTGATAATCAAATACCTATCAATAAGTACTCTAAATGTAAATGAACTAGATACTCCAATGAATAGATATAAGGTGACTGCATGAAGAAAAAAACCAATACCCAATATATGCTTCCTATAAGAGACTCACTTCAGACCTAAATATACAACAGACTGAAACTGAAGGGTGGAAGATATTCCATGCAAATAGAAATGAAAAAAAAGCTGGAGCCGCAGTACTTATATAAGACAAAATAGACTTTAAAACAAAGAATTAAAAAGAGAATGAAAAACATGATAATGAAGGGCTGTATCCAGCAAGAGTATGTAACAATGGTAAACATCTACTCACTCAACAGAGGAGCACCTAAATACACAGAGCAAATATCAACAGACGGAAGAGAGGAATTGACAGTAAATACAATAATAGTAGAGGTCTTTAATCCCAACTTACATCAATGGATAGATCATCCAGGCCAAAAATCAGTTAGGAAACAGTGGTTTTGAATGACACATTAGACTAAATGGACTTAATAGATACATACAGAACATTACATCCCAAAACAACAGAATACTCAATCTTTTCAGGTGCACATGGAACATTCTTCAGGATAGATCACACATTAGGCCACAAATGAATTCTCAAAAAATTTAGGAAGACTGAAATCATGCCAAGCACCTTTCCCAACCCTAACAGTATGAAACTAGAAATCAATTACAGGAAAAAAAACTAAGGAAAAAAAATAAGGCCATGGAGGCTAAACAGCATGTGCTACTAAACAATCAATGGGTCAACACAGAAACTAAAGAAAAATAAAAAAGTACTTGGAGAATAATGAAAATAGAAACACAACAAGGCAAAATCTTGGGAAGGCACCAAGGAGTTCTGAGAGAGAACTGTCTAGCATTACAGGCTTACCTCCAGAAACAAAAAAATCTCAAATAAACAATCTAACCCTACACCTAAAATAACTAGAAAAAGAAGAACAAAGCCCAAAGTTAATAGAAGGAAGGAAATTAATAAAGATAAGAGCAGAAATAAATTAAACAGGAACTAAAAAATGAAAAAAATACAAAGGATCAATGAAACTAAGAGCCAGTGGTTCTTTGAAAAGACAAGCAAAAGATAAATCTTTAGCTAGACTCAGCAGGAAAACAAGAAGACTCAAATAAACAAATGAGATGCAAAAATGAAGTTACAAATGATACCACAGAAATACAAATAAGTTTAAGAGATCACTATGAAAACTGTATGCCAACAAATTGGACAACCTAGAAGAAATGGATAAATTCCTACAAACATGTAATCTCCCAAGAGATTGAACAAGGAAGAAATAGAAAATCTCAACAGACCAATTACTAGTAACAAAACTGAAGCAAAAACAAAAGTCCAGGTCCGTATGGCTTCACAGAAGATTTCTACCAAACATTTAAATTAGAGTTAACATGGGGAAGGCAGTATAGCACAGAGAAGACAAGTAGTGATTCTATAGCATCTTACTATGCTGATGGACAGTGACTGTAATGGGGTATGTGGTGGGGACTAGATAATGAGGGGAATCTAGTAACAACAGTGTTGCTCATGTAATTGCATATTAATGATACAAAAAAAAAAAACTGAGGAGGAAGGAAAGCTTCCAAATTCATTCTATGAGGTCAGAATCACCCTGATCCTCAAAGCACACAAAAACAGTACAAAAAAAGAAAATTACAGAACAATATCCCTGGTGAACATAGATGAAAAAAATCCTCAACAAAATATTAGTAAACTGAATTTAAAAATGTATTAAAAAGATCATTCACCAAGACCAAGCAGGATTTATTCCAGGGATGAAAAGATGGTTCAATATTTGCATAATAGTAACAAAAAAAGGACAGAAAAATTAAAAATACTCAAATGTTCAGATAGAAAAATGATTAAATGAATTAGGCCAACTCATGGTGAAACATTATACAGAAGTGAGAGTGAATGAACCATAGTTATAGGAATGGATCTTAGAAACATAACAGTGATAAAAAAAAAAGGGGACAAATAAGAGTATTAACATCTTCCTCTCACTAAGTCCCACCTCCCAAGATGTAAACATTCTGCACTGATGTCATCAAGAATGTTTCCAACTACTAATGACAGAGAAGAAATGAATTATCTTGGTGGTTATCATGACCTCATTTTCCATTATGCATTTCCTTTAAAAAAAAAGAAATTCAGAAACATGGGGACATTGTGTGAGTCTCAAAAGCTTTTACAATCAACAACTGAATGAAGCCCACTGAAGAATTACTGAGGTCCAAAGGGCAATCGAATGACAAGTTGTCACTCTTCCAAGAAGTGTATTATGAGTCTAATCAAAACAATTCTACACAAATAAAAGAAACCTGTGTGTGGAAATAGTTCTGCTACTGTTTTGTTCTCTGGATAAAGAGATTTTGTGTGTTGTATAGAAATACCCACAACAGTACAAAAGCAAGTCTCCAGGTTTATTTTCTTCTTATAAATTTAAATGTATATCCTGAATATATAGTTTTTTTATATATTCCTTTGGTATACTAGAATGTTTTCTTTGAAATGCATAAAGAATTATAACTTAATTTTGCTCTACAATAAAATGCCATTTGTGCTTTAGAAAGCCTAAAATGTAACAATTATTAAACTCAAAACAAAGAAATATATTGTAGCAATACCATTTAAAGGAAGAGAAAAAAAATTCAGAATAGTTACTGTAAGAGTTGGGGAAAGACAGGAATATGGAGTTACAGAGGTGTTCATAGGTCACCCTATAGCTGTGTTGGTACTGACCCAGTTCTTCAATTGAGTTGTTGGTCCCCAAATGTGTTTTTATTATTAATTTCCTTCTGTTACATGTTCAAATTACAGAATTTTTGAAAATTTAAAGAATGCATGGAAGGCAGGAACATAGATACAGAAAAGCAAAGATGACGAATTCATCAAGTGTGACAGTAAGGGAGTATGCCTGTAGCCTGTGAAGGAAAAGAAGGTAAAAGCAAAGCTTTCACACAGATGATGTGTGTAATTAGTCATTCAAGAAAAAGACACTTCCTTTGAATAGTAAATAAGGTATCAAAGGATATGTGAAGATATTAATTCATTTGGAGGTTAGATTAAAAGCAAATTGAGGGGCTTCATTAGTAAGTCAGACAGAAAAATAATTGCTGAGAACAAAGAAGACAAACAAGCACAGGACTGTTGTTTGAGAAGAATTGTAAAGTTTAAAACACTACGTGGACCAAGAAACTGTACCAACTAGGTAAAAGCTTGTTTGCTCTATTACTTAAAACTCTCAGTACCTGGACTCCCACCACCAAGCTATTTCTCCCTTTGTTCTACATAAACCAATCCTCAGACTCAAGAGTACATGTCTCTGGTAACTTGTAACTACAAATTTAAACTGTTAAATATGATATAGTACAAAAATGGTACCATTTTGCCCTAAAAGGAAAGATACAGAGTAAATAAAATTACCACTTTCAACATACAATTAGTTTTCACACTTCATCTGATAACATAAAGTTGTGTGACACTTAAAATATAACTAGCTTTATATACATATGCTTTAATCTACGCATTACAATAATACTGTAAATGGTAGGGAGGTACTAATTCCCATCTTACAGATGAAGAAACTGTGCCTCAGAAGTATTAAGTTGACAGCCATAGTTTTTATAACAGGGTAGTACTAGGTCTACATAGATATCATTAGCTATCAACATGTATGGAGTTTGACTGTTAAATATAGTTTTAATTTTAAGAAAAAAAAAAGGTCATCAATCACTTACTCTGTATCAGGAACTATGCTAGACACTGGGGGTATAAAGATGAGTAAGACACAATTCCTTCTTTCAAGGAGTTCATAGTCTAGTGAGGAGACAACCTGTAAGTAAATAAATAGCTTTCAGTGCAACACTTACTAAAATAGAGGCAAATGTAAAGGGGTACCTCTGGGGCACACATGATAAAGTGCATAACCCAACTTACAGGAATCAGGAAAAGGTTCAGTGAGAAGATAACCTTTGAACTGTCTTGAAGTATAATTCTTCAAGAGAGAATGATGGCATGTCTGGAGCATTCAGAGAACTGCTGTTAGGACTTGAAGACAAAATGTAAGGACAGTATGAAGTGATGAGGCTAACAGGCAAACAATTATCTAGAATGTACAGGATCCTATGGAATTGTTCATATGGTATTGCAAATATATCAAGCATAGTAGTTAATTAAGTTTATCTGAAAGTAAAGATAGACACTGATAGGTTTCAATGCAAGAACTGCCTTTTAGGAGAGTAACTATGGCAGCAGTGGGATTAGATTTAAAAGAATGAGCTTGTCTGAACGAGGTCACTGGTAGTATGAAGGAAAAAACTCAGGATATGTACAAGATCTTTGACCAGACGATTATGGGAGAGCCAAAGGTTAGAAAGAAGGACTCTGAACCACTAAAATTTCCCACTTCACTCTATGGGTAGATGATGGCACCATAACACAAGGGAGTAGAAGAGAAACAAATTGTGGGAGACTATATAGCAAAGTTTTTAAGAGCCAACTCTGCAGCCACTTAACAGCTGTATGACCAAATGTGGTAAAAGAAAAAACAGTCTGTTTTAATAATTTTCAAGTGAATTTGATTATTCATCCAAATTAAATTAGGTCCTACCCTATGCCCAGAGGATACAGCCAGTTATATGTAAGCTGATTATATCCAGCATAACCCTTTAAAAATGCCACAGGGTTGTATAAGGGTTATTATTCAACTGGAAAGAATAAAGAATCCTGAATGTAGGTAATGAACTACATTCCCAGTCATTAAGCTTTATCATTAAGATCTATCAAATCCTCACTTGAAGATGTATCTTATTTGCCTGTTAAGCCTTGGAAAAGCCAGAGAATTCCCACCACATAGTATCTAATTACCAGGTTTATTAATAAACTTATTGATTGCCTAGTCTGTACAGTAGGTATGGCAAGGACACAAACATGGTAGAAAAAATAGCCCCAACTTCAATACTGAGTCTAGTTTGAAGACAGTTTTAACACACAGGAAACATCTCAGTAACCAGACAGGATGGCACCTATCAGATGCTTGAGAAGTTTAGTCCAATGAATGTGGAACTTGGAAGGTTAGAGAGCCTACAACAGGCAAAGTTATACCAGCACCATAAAATTTAAAATTCAAAGAAATATGGCAAAAATAAATATATATGAACAAAGTAGTTTCCCTCACCCTAAAGTATTCAAGATTCAGCAACTGTAGAGCAGAAAATAAGTATTTCATAAAAGCATAAGTTATAAAACAGGGGATTTAATTTTGAATAATACAGGAAATAATACTTCTACACAGATTACTTTTTTAAAAAGACACTGTTGGTCATTTCAATGAATTTATAAAATGGGACAGTAAACAAAAGTAAACTTGTCCTGATTTGCTCAGAACCACCCAGGTTTAAGAGCCCTGCTCCCTGGGAAACCTCTCAGTCCAGGTACTGAAGGATATTTGATTATCCAGCGGGTTTGTGTAGACATCTTTGATGTATCTTAAAGAAGTTTTTCTAGTGGAATCCTGTTTAATAAGGCATAATTCTATTAGATTTTACATTTCCATGTGACTTAAATATTCAGAAAGGAAAAATAAATTTTATAAGAACCACTCATTAGTACGCCTAGGAATCACACCACCAGAGGACACACTGGGAGAAAGGATGAGGGAAGAGCAAGCAGCTTTCCGAACACCCAATGTCTTCGAGCCTCAGAATTACTTAACTTTACCAAAGTCCGAATACTCACCTCGACTGTCTCCCAAGGACCCAAAGACATGCCAACTTCCTGAACAGCTTCCTAACACTCAGTCCTACTGTTCTCCCTGCACCATGCCACCATTCTCACTCCGCGGTCTGCACATCTAAGCTAACTGCTTGGCCTTCCCTGACTCCTGTCAATCCCCACTCTGCTGCGGAGGAGGGTGGACCCCACCCCCTGAAGAACCCTACTCCACGCACCATCTCCCAACAGTCACTCTAGCCCCTGCACTCCCCTTTGGGATCCACACCAGCAGCCCCTCCAGCTCTCCTTCATCCTAGTAGCACAGACAGCAATACCACCGTTTTATGTGCACAGCACTTCAGTTTCAATTTTCACACATGCATCTCAGGGAAATGGGTAAGTACAATCATTTTCAGTTTTAACAATGCAACATTAACTTTATTTTTCATTACTACTCTACCCCCCATTGGGCTTTTCTTCCCAGGATTTCTTGGTGCTAAACCTCAATGTATACTTTAAGCTATCTGGGATAGAGGTCAGCCAATTCCTTAAATAGTTACTTGCCCACACTGACCTTTCTGTATAAATATCACTGATGAATCTTCTTAAATGCCCAACAGGAATGTCACCTGTCTGATTATTTACAAGTATCACTGAGAAAAAGAGTAACACTTTTTAAACTGTGCCATTCCAGTGACTTGAAGAGCATTTGCAGTATCTATCAAGCAAAGGACAACTAAAGATGGGCATCCACAGGTACTTTTTAACATCTAACTATAGTTTGGGTGTTGACTTTAATCTAAAAATGTCTAATCACGGGATCTATTAATTCACCTTTCTTCCATCTTTCTGTACTTTTAGTCAATTTCTAAGTTCCTTTTGGTGCACAATATATGGCACTTTACAGGAGAAACACAATAAATGTTTTTAGTGAGAAAAACATATTTATCTTCAAAGTGCCAAGTTTCATAAGTCAGTATTAATACCCAACTCTTACTTATCTCCACCCAGTGTCAGATTTTTTCAACCAGAAGAGGTAAACACATTAATTTTTCCCAAGCCCTCTGCTTCTGTTTTCACTCATACTCCAATTTTTACTTCTTCTTTTCCAGCGATACAAATCTAGGCCTCTTTTCTTTTCTAGATATATCTGACACATATCCCCGTTCGTAAATTCATTCTCTTATTTTTTACCTATCTCATTTCCTTGAGTACAATACTTATATTCAACTTTTTTTATTTTTAAGTTATTCCTTTCAAGCAATCACAGAAAATCTGCTTTACAAGTAACTCATCTCAAAATCTGCCTTTCTCTAATACATGTATCTGCTGCCACTTTGCACTAATAAGCAAAAAAGACCCAACCCTATACTGAAATGCACCATACACATCACAATTTTAATTTTCTAAGTACTAAATCTTGATCCATCTCTAGATTCCCTTTTTACTGCCAGTTTTAACTATTTCCAATTATGTCAACACCTTGCCCTCAAAATTAAATCAACTTATTCTGAGTCACATAATTAATACAAATTTCTTTCCCTTTTTCAGATGGACAAACACATGCATTGTTACTGTGTACCCCTTACTGTGGTAATCAAAAACCTTGCTGAATTTAACTTTATGCCTCCTCAAAATATCATGGAACACACCCTTATAACTGCTGGCCATTAATTTCCTGCAATGTAATTCTTCATCTGCTCTTCACATAAATTCACTCTATTCACAGAAATTCAAGTCAAATAGCTAGGCAAATTAACTCAACTCTCATGGCAGCAATTCTAATGCAGGTAATTGTTGATTCAGACTACTTGAAGTTCCACCTACTTCTTCCCTCAGAAGAGCCTTGCATCACAGCAAGGCTCCAGTCACAGCACTGAAGTATGATCAAAGTAACTTAACTTGCTTTTCTTACCCAATTAGAGAGAAATAGTTGGAATTACCTACGCAAAGCAAAACTGACCACTCACTGTTTCAAACAAAGTATGTTTCCTATAAACCTCCAGCCAGTAAATGTACAGGGTTTTGTCTATACGGAATGTAAATTCCTTACCCCAAATGTAATAAATAATTAAAAATAGACTTGACAGAAGACTAGATGCTAAGCTGGCAGGAACCAAGACACACCAAAGTACGGGCCAGTCCAGAAGATCAAGTATCAAAGGTATTTCTATTCTGAGCTGAAAGAAGTACCAGTTCTGCTTTTTTCCAAGTCAGAGGTTAACCATTAAAAAAAATTACTACAAACTTAATATAAAACTCTAAACATCTAGTAACGTAGCAGTTACAAGAAACCCAAGTCAACTTGTGCACTAAACTTTTACTTATAGGAGACTTTTAGTCTGGTTGATGGTCCAATTATTTCTAATTGGGGAATTAGAGAAATAACAAGAGTCATTTACAAGAGTCTAGTGTGAATTGGGATTTGAATTTCTGTCTCAACAAGAGGCAGCATAACAGTGGCTAAGAGTTCATTCTGCAGTCAGACAGCCTATGTTCAAATCCTGGCTCCACTTTACTATGTTCAACTTCTGACAAGCTCCTTTACCTCACAATGCCTCAGTTTTTATGCCTATAAAATGAAAAATAATAGCACCTACCTCACAGGGTGATTAAAATGAGTCAATATTGACAAAGCGGTAAGAAAACTGCCCAGCACACAGTAAGTGCTTAACAAGCTGACAAGACCCTGGACAAGTAATTTAACCTAACTAGGAGATGTCTTAGTGATTATTATATAAGCCCTATGAATTATAAATGTTATGTAAATGCTAAATTATTAAGAATATAACATAAGATAATTAAATATGAGGCAATGAAAAATAAAGCCTTACAGAAAACATACAGTCCTGCTCTACTGAAACTGAAAATTTATCAGTTAATTTTTCTGAATACTGAGGCTACCCTTTTAAAAAATAATACTTTGGCCTTTTGAGACAGTCATGCCATCTATTTTATTTTACATAATTTCTGATGGCAATTCTTATAAAAATAAACATACAATCCTATCCTAGGATTATCTGAAAATGAAGTACTGTATATAACCCCCAGCGAGTGCCTACACCGCTTTCCCTACTAATTTACTCCCTTCCCCCTGCCCCAATTCATACCCTCCCTCTCTCTGGCCACCAAACAGACTTTGGGCTCACGTAGTATAACAAGAGTAAGACAAAACAAGATCAACTTTAAAAAAAAAAGAAAAAAAATCCTTTGACCAACTGACTTCTTAAAAGAAAAGCCAACCTTCTTTCTCACCTCTGACTCACTTCTCTACCCATTCGATTTGGTTGCTGCCTCACCACTCTACTTAAGTATCTATCTCTTTTCTCCTCCATGGCCAAATAGTGGTCACCGCAACTCCACGTCCTCCTGGACCTCTCTGCACCATCAGACAATGGTTCACTTAGTGAACACTGGGCCTCCATGCTCTCCTTAAGAAATTCCGACCTAAGCCTCTCATTTAATCTTTCCAGTAGAAGAGAATAAAATCTACCATGGGTCAAAAAAGAACTGATCAATAAAACAAACCAGGTATCAGGCATTCTTTTCTGAATTAAGTCATTTGGCACACACACGCACGCACGCACGCACGCGCGGCATGAGTTCTGGTAATAGAGTAAATACCAGGAATATAAAAATCCAAGATATGCTCTTTACCCTCAGTGAGTTTCTAATTTAGCAGCAGAAAAAGACAAGGAAATCAGCAGCTTTAAGATCACTGACAACGTTGTGCCGAGTTGAGTCCTACAGAAGTAGGAAAGGAGCATCTCAATGGGATATAGTGGGGAAAGGTAAGGAGGAGTCAGGAAAGGTTTCTGAGCGATGGTAACAGTTGCAGTGAGTTGTGGAGGACTACGCAAGGGCCGTGTATACACAGAAGGGGAGAAGTGCTGTCAAGACCTCCTGTGCTCAGAGAAGTGAGATGAACAGTGTGGGCAGTGAGTATACAGAGTTCTGCTCAGGAGACGAAACCATCAAGGCAGAAAAGTAGCTGCGCCATGGTGAGTACTGAGAAAGCCACACAGAGCCACTGAATTTTCAGCAGGGAAGGAACATTCTTAGTATTTTAGAAAAACTGCTCTAGCACAGTTGTGAGGGTAGCCTAAAAGTGGCCTAGTCCTGAAATGGCTTGAAATAGAGGAAGCAGCAGAGATATGAAGGAACAGAATCTGCAATAATTGGTGGACTAACAGATGCCACGATAAAAGGGAGATTACTCCTCACTATCCCCAACATAACTCTTCTCCAAGCCTAATTTCTCATCAAACTGCAGGAACAACTTGGTACATGGTGCCCCTGCACCCTGCCTGCCTTCACTCTCACCCCATATCCATCCTCCATCCAGCAGTTAGTGATCTTTCCCAAACACATTTCAACAACTGTTTCACACTCCAATGTTCTCTTATCTTAAACTCATGCATGGCCTCCTCATGTGATCTGTTGCCCCCACACCTCTTTCTTCTCTCCTCCCCTCTTCATTCTCACTGACATTCCTGTCATCCCTGACTACCTTGTGCTTCTGAGGGACCTTTGCATTCACTGCTCTGACAGTTCCTTGGCTTCCTTCTCAGTTTTGGGCTCAACTCAAATATGATCCCTTCAGAAAGAATGCCCAGCCAGCCTAGGCAAAGTGAGACCCTCACTTCTCCAACTCTACCACTTCACCCTATTTTATTTTTTCTAGTAATTTTCAATTATTTATGTTCATATATTGTCCTCTCACTTCTATTTCCATCTCTACCCCTGCCCCTTAGGACAGGAACTCTTATCTTATTCGCCATTCTATTCCCAGAACCCCAACAAGAGCCTGGCCAAAGGAAGGTCCCCATTAAGTAATCACTGACTGACTGAGACAGCTCAGAGGAGATATGCTAGAGGTAAAGTTATGCAACATGGCCCATTAGCAGAGTTCAAGACTAAACTGAAAGCCAGCTCTGCTGTGACAGGTTAAGAAGTACATGCCCCCACTCAGGGAAAGACAACCGCATGCACTGACATGAGGACAGACGAGAGCTAGGCACCCCAACAACGAGGAGCTGAACAGCAGACAAGGACTGTGCAGAGAAAGAAAACTTGAAGAGTTTCAGGGAGGAGGAAAGAGTGGCTAACCCCACCAAGTGCCCCAAAATGGATGTTACCAGGCCCTGAGTGGGAGCAATTTTAATAAAATGGTGGGACGAGAAGCCAATAGCTTAAGAAACCACTGTTCAGATGTTCAACTGTGAAGGAAAAGCAAGATATAGGCTCAAAGGGAGGTATTCATCATAGATTTGTTTCTGAAGATGGAAGAGACTTGACCATGTTTTCAGACAGGAAGAAGCTAAAGTCACAGAAGAGATGATACTTACTATGACAAGATCTCTGACAGGGCAGGACTGCTGAGACTTACCACAGAGGTACAGACATACTCTCACACTGAAGACTGGAAAGGGAAGACATGGTGAGGATGCAGATACCTCTGGAAGTGTCTGGAAAGAAAGTTAAGGAGGTTTTACTAATTTCCTCAGTGACGGAGGCACTGCTGGTAGCACTGGGAATACAATGGTCAATAAAAACAGACAAAATCCTGTCTTAACAGGCAGGTGGCTGAGGAAGGAATTGAGGACAGGCACAACAGAGATTTGGGCACAGCAGCACCAACCCCTATAGACACGTGAACTTTCCATCTCATTTTAATAGTTCATGGTTAGCAATGACATTAATAAGAGCTGCTTAGAGCATCAGTTCCAGAAGAGAAAAGGGTATACTTAGCTACTAACAACCTACTTCTGGTAATCCAAATGCATTAAGTATACATATTCTGTCACCTTCATTCATCAAAGTTCAGCCAAAGAAAGTAGATAATTGGTATTTCCTAAAAAGCTCTTTACTCACATACCTCACTAATGACAGATATTTCCAATTCAAAAACAGTTTTCCCCAACCCGGCTGCATGTCATAATCACCTGGGGACGATACTGGGGGGAAAGGGGGGCACTCTAGGTGAGTCTCACAGACACATTTGTGTACCAGTGTCTTCTTACATGTTATTCCCACTGCTCATCTACCTAACTGCTAATCATCCCTCAAAATTCAGTTCAAATGTCATCCCTCCAATTGTGGACTAGTTAGTTGCTCTGTTTCATACTTCTGTAACCCTGTTTGTTTCTTTATCTGCCTCATGCTATATATTTCTTTATTACTATTCATCTTTACTCAATAAATGTAAGTTAAATGAAGATTCACAATTAAAACATTAACCCTGAAGAACTGGTTAAGATGGTTAAGTTTAAAAAAGAGTATCTCTATAACACACAGAACTGAAACTTTAAAATATTATGTAGAAAATCTATGCAGGTGGGACTACAAGCCATCCATACCCTCTCCTATCTCTGCACTACTAATACTGAGCTCCAAGCCATGTCCACCTTATCACTGTGATTTCATCTCCATAGCCCACTATAAGGACTCAATACAAAAATATCCAACATAAAGTAAAGGATAAATGTCACTAAAAATGCTCACTTGACTTAAACACTCAAATGTCCAAAAGTGTATGAACAAAAGAAAAAGCTCATTCAACTTGGACACTCTCCAGTCCTAACTATTCAAATAATTCAGAAATCATACGCTAATCCCATAATTATACTTCAATTAGATTCTAATGAAAGTCTGGGAGAAAGATGGCTGCTTAGAACACAGTACAAAATTTTCCATAGAGGTATTAGAAATGGTGGTAAGATACCAAGCCACAAAAGCGTACAGGACCCATAACAGCCAAAGCACTTGCAGTGTACAAGGAAACCTATTGTTCTATAGAGATGTTTCAGAGATTCCACAAATACTGATTTGTGTGCATATGATTTGTTCCTGCAAAAATCAAAGCAAAATACCAAAATAAATTGCTAACACTATGAAAAAGTACCGAAAACACTTTGCATGGTGCCTGGCTGTGGATAAAGTGAAGGTTCCAATGACCAGGATTCTCACTTGGCCCTGGTCAATTAGCTCACTACACATGTGTGGGCAATACGTTGTTACTGACTCTAAACAGAGAGTTCTGGGTGACATGGTGGAACGGTTGCATGGCTACAGGAGAGCAGAGAGCAGAGACTGTAGTGGTGGCAGCTGAGGACAGAGACTGAGATGGCTGCAGGGACAGAGAGGTCCAGAGGCACAGACCGGCTTGCTGCAAGCGGACTCCTCTGAGTGGACGGGATTCTAGTTACTGACCTGCCACCATAGAAATAAAGTTGGGCATAAACTCTTTCACCCTAAGAACGTTCCACTGTCATTTTTTGGTCTCACTGAATCCACAGTGAACTTTCCAGGGGCTGAAATCCATTGGCAAGACACTGGCACCTAGTAAATACCCAATAAATTATAGCTATTTTTACCCAGAATCCCTGATTTCAAACTTTGGTGTCCATCAAAATAGTTACATTTTCTCACTGCATTTCTATATTGTAAACTCCAAGAGTGCAGGACAAATCCAATATATCTAAAGTGCCTCCCTCAAAGCCTGCCACACACTTGTTTTTAATAAATATTTGCTAATGAAGGAAACTTAGTGTCAACTGAATCTCAAAAACAATAAAGGCTTAAAAACAAATAGTCTTATTTAGTTTTTAGGCTCTCTAAATGAACTACTATACTTCTCAAATTGAATTTTTTCCTTTAAAATTATCATCAAAATAAAAAATAAAAGTGTAAATGTTCATGTAGAAAATAACTCCTCCAGGAATAATCAGTTTAGAAAACACTAGAGAACAGCCTTATTTAATGAAACAGCATCTAAATTTCTCTGGGCCTTGGTAATCCTATCAAATAAGAAATGGGAGCACAGAACATATAGAGATTTTCTAGTTTGGAATTGCTTGACTAAAAACACCATGTATTTATTCATGAAACACTGAAATCACCCATAATCTTTGCAGCAACCCAACTGGTCTTGATTTTTATACCATTGTTTTCCTCCAGTACACATTTTTCTTTACAAAGCTGCAGCCCTAGTGTACAAATCATTTTATTTTCTCTCTTCATGTCCCATTTACAGTAAGAACTGCCCATTACAAACTTGATTGAGTCCTTGGCCAACATCAGAGGACCTCTGGATTTATGCTTACAGTTGTGAAACCATAACTTTTGCAAAAATATTCCAGAGGGCCACAAGATGGTGATGTTGTTCCATAAAATGCACCTTATAAAAAATACAATTACCTAAATTCTGATTGTAGTTAGAGGAGAGAGACGGCGTTTATTGACATACACCAGAACATGTGTAAAAGAAAAACCATGGAAGTATTTTTTGGTTGTAGGAAAAAATATAAAACAATTTAAATACAAAATAAAAATGAAGCATATCCACATAATGCAATATATGGGGAAATTAATACTATAAAACCAGTATTCATAAATCAATATGTATAAATAATAAAGTGAATAAAAATTCAGTTGCACAGAGGTGAGGCTTAGAACCTCACCCCCCCGTTTTGACAGAAATCTTCTGCATCTGTGGATGTTGTGTTGCCCTTGTCTAGCTTGGATTAATACTTTGTCTATAGGCACAGACCTGATCATCTATCTACATTTGCCCTCTTACAGCACTAAATTTTGTTTTCTACCTTTATCTTGCATCTACCTACCACTTCAGCATTTTCTTTAAAAAAATAATAAGGGAGAAATGTGGGATTCACATATAAATCAAGTATAAAAATCAAACAAATAATCATATCTGACTCGATTGTTTATAGTTCATGATGCGTGATCAAAACCGAAAGTTTCTGTCA